AATCCTATGATGGAAAATGAACTTTATATGCCCAGGAAAACAGAGGTCTTTATTCTGTCAAGTAAATACATCTGTTTCTTTGCATACAGAAGAACTCTCATGATAGCAAGATTCAGTGCTCTACTCTTGATGCTTGTGAAGGAATCTTTCTTACATGGAACATTTCTATATTTGCTCAGAGTCCATTACTTATCTTGTTTCCTCTGTTGTACTTACCACTCACTGTGCTAATTGGTCAGAAATTGAAGTTGTCCATTTAAAAGGAGATGTGGAGAAAGGTAGAATAGAATAACAGAGTTGGAAGGGACCTTGGAGGTCTTCTAGTCCAACCCCCTGCCTAGGCAGGAAACCCTACACCACTTCAGACAAATGGTTATCCAACATCTTTTTAAAAACGTCCAGCATTGGAATAACTACAACTTTTGGATGCAAGTCGTTCCACTGATTAATTGTTCTAACTGTCAGGAAATTTCTCTTTAGTTCTAAGTTGCTTCTCTCCTTGATTAGTTTCCACCCATTGCTTCTTGTCTTGCCCTCAGGTGCTTTGGAGAATAGCTTGACTCCCTTTTTCTTTGTGGCAGCCCCTGAGATATTGGAACACTGCTATCATGTCTCCCCTAGTCAGTTTTTTCATTAAAAAAGACCCAGTTCTTGCAACCATTCTTCATATGTTTTATCCTCCAGTCCCCTAATCATCTTTGTTGCTCTTCTCTGCACTCTTTCTAGAGTCTCAACAACTTTTTTACATTGTGGTGACCAAAACTGAATGCAGTATTCCAAGTGTGGTCTTACCAAGGCATTATAAAGTGGTATTAACACTTCAAAGCAAAGTTTTGTTTAATTGGTATTTTCATTATGAGATTATTTGAAGATGATAATCCAAAACAATTAAAAGTAACCATCCATTTGTTTATTATTATTATTGTATATAACATTGCTATGTTTCATAGGGGCTGCCTCCAAATTATAAAAATAAATAAGATGGAAATAAATATGGATGTTTTATTATTTTAGCTTCACTGGATTTTCAATATTTAGTGACTATACCATTTCCTTCCTTTCTTTCCTTCCTTCCTTCCCTCCCTCCCTCCCAAAATCATGGCTACCCACTTGACAAAGATGTGTTGAGAAAAAATTATATAGGCTGTTTAGATTTTAAATAAGGTTTTTTTTTATCCCTACTCTTTGATATCTTTTAACATGACTCAAAATTGACAGAGTACTTTGCAAATTGAGAGGGTAGGGATATGTAAATGAGTTTTAGCACTTCTCACATGAGAGCTGAAGAAGCTTCTTGAATGAGAAGCGAAACCTCTTCAAAGAAAAACAAGAAAGTTTAAGTCTGCTTCTTGAAAAAAACACCTCTGGGATTCTCACATTGGACTCTATAACCAGTGTAAATAGGTCACAATGTGTAATATCACTATTTTGTCCCCCCCCTCTAAATCATTTAGGATGGGGGACAGTTTTTAACCTCCACTTAGATCTTTCTCTACAAACTTTGGAAATATACTGGTCTTTCTGCATATCTGTCCCACTTGTTACAATGACCATGGTTTTACTGTTCCTAAGTATTAGTACTGAAGCTCTTTCTGTCTGTTATAGCATCACTAAGAAACTAAGTCTAATAGGGCTACATCCAAAAGAACAACTCTGATTCTTACTGTCAGCAGCTGGTACTTTATTCTATGCAATAAAATTAATGAGCAATTGGCAGAATTCTTTAGAGAGAAAAATTGTGTTAGCGAAAAATTGACAGATTTAAATTACAGATGCAGATATTTTAAAGGGAAAAGGACCCTGGTTGTCATACTATTATTGCATTTTGTGCCTCCCCTCCCCTATATCTTTGTACTTTAAAGTTTTTTTCTGTAATAAATTGAAATATGGCAAGCTAAAACTATATAACATTTTATGAATCAAATGAAGTTAAAAGGAAATGGAGGAGTTTGAAGTGATCACATCTATTATTGATAAATGTTTTAAAGAAAAACATTATCTTCTTTAGATAATCTCTGGGGTCCTTTTTATTGAGTTGAAGCTACAAAACTCAGAAAATATTAAGGTAGGAATAAAAAGTTTCATTTGTGTCATTTTTTCTTTTGGCTCAATCAGTGACAGTAGCAATAGCAATTAGACTTATATACCGCCTGACAGTGCTTTTATGGCTCTAAGCAGTTTACAGAGTCAGCATATTGCTCCAACAATCTGGGTCTTCATTTTACCAACCTTGGAAGGATGGAAGGCTGAGTCAACCTTGAACCTGGTGAGATTCAAACTGCCAAATTGCAGTCAGACGGCAGTCAGCAGAAGTAGCCTGCAGTACTGCATTCTAACCACTGTGCCACCATGGCTCTATGAATCATGGCTGACCTTGAAAACTAAGCAAGGTAGGATACTGGAAGACCCACCAGGATCTCTTAAAACTGTAGATTAGCCTGGGAATTTGAAAACAAACACCTAAGAAAAACCATTTTCAAACCATTTTCATATATGACCATGATGTTGCCAGGAATCAAGTATGATTTGACAAAGAATTCACCATTTTACTCCTTTCTTTCAGGCATAGCCTGAGGAAAAAATTGAAAGCAATTTTCTCAGGCCCACAAATGGAAGGGATCCTCTCCAAAGTATGGTAAAGTATTTGAATAAGAAGGATCACTGTCATTCAAAGTAATAAAAACAATTAAAGCAAAACCCCAAGGCTTATTTCAATATTTTGGTTCCCTCTTCACATTTCTGCTTATTTGGCCTGTGGATGGGACAAAAAACAAAGAATGACTGACATGGATTAAGGTAGCAAACATTCTGCTAGCCTCTCAACATCTGAAAACCTGAATCTTTCAGCTGGAATGCCCTCTTAGCCTTTATTTAATAAACTGACTTTATTTAGATTGATTGATGAGTGGATTTTATATCCCAAGTTGCTCAAGGCATCATATATAGTTTTATCTTTTCCTATGGATTATTGTCACAACAATTCTGTAAAGCATCTTAGAGAAAGATAGTAATTGGCATAGGGCTACCCATAAATTTTGAGGCAAAGTTTTGTGCATGCTAGAGTCCTTTGTCCAATCCTCTTCTGACTGAGTATCTTAACAGTACTGGGAATTAGGCATACTTGTTACTCCTTCTCTCCAATAAACATTTTACCCTTATGTTCAATTGGTCAGAATGATTGTGGTTTGAGAGACAAGCATATGAAGGGAGAGACCCAGTTCAATCTGATAAAGTATGCCAAGTCTCTTTGACATTGTTGTTCTTTTGTTCTAGATTCCCTTTCAGTATTAGATTGAAATGATCTTTATTCAATTATGATTCAATTATGTTTATTTGACTGTAATTTTCAAGAGGAAACAGCTCACAAACACTCCTGGAAATATGCAGTGATATATGTGGTAATGAATGCATTTTGTATTTTATGTTTAGCATTTGGGTGGATCTAGTGTTTGATCCTTATAGATGTTGAGATACTGTTCTATGATGGGTCTGTTTTATGATGGGTTTGGATGGGTTGGTAAATGAGAATGGTTCTATTGTCCAAATCATAGTTTCATAGTGAATGTACAGATCTAACTGCCTTTCAGTCCCAAGGTATCAATAGTAATCTTGTTTTAAAATTAAATTTCTGAGAATGCTACAGGGCTACATGTGGCATAAAACTTGTTTAGAATATACAGCAGTACAACCATAGTAAAGTATAATAATAGATAGATCTAAGACATGGATGATGGAGGGAAAACTTATTTATTTATTTAGCATATGGCATGTGTTAGCCAGGAATCCCCGAGGTGGCTGCCTCTGTGTAAGGAATTTTTTTGGGCGGTGTTATCTTTACCCGTGGGATGCTTTAATGTTGGTAAACATTTGGGGGAGGCTCCTTTCTTGTCTCTACACGATTTATTCGCTCAGGGGAATCGAACCACCAAGCTGCCAACCCCAACGGTACCATGTGAGCCACCGCGGCCCCAAAGAGGGAAAACTAATATTAGCCTGTTCAGGTGAACCACCCAGAGAATACATTCCACCCTTTTTATATGGGCTTAGTTTTTAAAAAGGCCATTCTATTGCTTCAAAGAAGAAGGCAATTCACTATAACAAAACCTTTGGGAGGTATGTTGGTGGAGCCAACTGTTATCTGACACTGTCAGATACCTAGAGCCAGGTTTCCACAGCTACACTGAGGAGGATTCCGCTAACAGATTTTATCCTGATGCAAGAGAAGTCCAAAATAATCTGAGTTCCAACAGGTCACCTTTCCAGAGACCCTAGCTTTGTAAGTTTGTATGTTTGTTTGTTTTTAAGTAAAGAAGGAAATAGCCATGGTGAAGATAAATTAAAAGATGATAAAATAGCATTTTTGAAGCATTTAATCTAGAAGGAATGACAATGCTGCCTTTGAAATAAAGTATTAGTCAATGCTCAGTTTAAAATTGCTCTTCTCTTTCCTGTTCTTTTATTCTCTTATTTTAACAGATGAAGTCAGACTGGGAGTTTCTTGTGTTTCTTTAAATACCAAGAAGACAACAAAAGATATTTAAAACAGCTCACACTGATGTAGTTGATAGTTGTGGGAGGGAAATGCACCAAAATGTGTCCTTTTCTAGAATGTATCAGTCTTTACACCTTCTTGGAAAATACAAAGGGCAAAATAATAATGGGGGAAAGCCATAAAAGAGAGAGAGAGAAAGAAATTCTAAATAATAGTATACCCTTTTTCTGTGTCACTCTCTGTCATTTGAACATGCTTTCCCAAAGTTTGAAAGCAAGTGTAAAAGACAGAGAAATGTGCATTTGAGGTATCTAGTTTGTGGATTTTTTTTTTTTTTTGGAATAACAAAGCAACATTCTTCCCTCCCCCTCCTTTCTTGTTCTAAAAAAGAGAGAGGGAGGGGGAGGGAGGGAGGGAGAGAGAGAGAGAAAGTTTTGAGAATTTTACTTTTCTATTCACTGTAGTCCTGGCCAAAGTAAAGCCCTCTTTTACATTGACGTCAAGATCTTTACTAAGATTAGGGTTTCATTTCTCTATTGCAGCAATTAGCCAGGGAATGTATAAAAGGCTTGAGGGAACCAAGCGAGGACTCCAGAGGAAAAGCACTTTGTACCACAGGCAGATAGCGAGAGGCAGAAACGGAAGAGTGGTAGGGAGAGAGGCTGAGCAGAGGCAGCCCAGCCAGCGAGGGAAGAGCAGAAAGTTTGTGTGCAAAGATTTTCCTCTACAGCCGTCCTTTGACAGAAAAAAAAAGTATTATTTCACCTGATAGCTCCGGTAATAAAAGAATGAGAAAACTACTGAAGTAGGAGAAAATTAGAGGAAAGTTAGCCTGTTCCATTTCAATTTTAGAATTACAGGCAATTGGCAGCCCAGCTGTCTCTCTCCCTCTCCCTCCCTCCCTCCCTCCCTCCCTCTCCCTCCCTCTCTCTCTCTCTGTTTAGAGGACTGCAAAGGGCTTCTGGCTAAGTAAAAACAACAGTAGTTTAAGTTAGAGTTTTTGAAAAATTAAAAGCAGCTCAGGGTGGAAAAACGTTCATGTTGGCGTGGTGCTTCCCTTTTTCTTTTTCTTTTAAGCGGCTCTACTGAAGTGAGAACTGAGCCAACTCTGAAAGAGAGCTAACGGAGCACTATGAATTTTTAAAAAGCCCCTTATGTTTTATTATTTTTATTATTGTTTTTCATGAGGGCACACAGGGTATGAAAAGGGAACTCAGAGGAACCCTTTGAAGAAGAAGAGCAAGCAAGATGGGCTTGTTAAGCATTGACCTGTTGATCACACTTCAGATCCTGCCGGTTTTTTTCTCCAACTGCCTTTTCCTCGCCCTCTATGACTCGGTGGTCCTCTTGAAGCACATGGTGCTTCTTCTGAGTTGCTCCAAGGCTGCACGTGGCGAATGGCGAAGGATGCTCACATCAGAGGGCTTACGCTGCGTCTGGAATAGCTTTCTCCTAGATGCCTACAAGCAGGTAGGTTTATGGACAGGCATGGGCTGAAGACCAGACATCTGAAGAGAGTCCTTGGGCTCCACTGCAGAGAGGAAGAGGTATTAAGATAGTGTGTGTGTGTGAAGCTGATATAATGTTTACTAAATGAACACAAGATTTGTAAATATTACTATCCTAGGCATTTGGTGCAGAAAGTATTAAGTTGCCATCTAATTTTGGTATCAACTCATTTGTTTCAGTGTTGTTTTATTAAGAGATATACATAATTTAGTTGCTTGGGTCTAGCTATTCTGTTTTTAAAAACTTTTCTGTAGAGATCACTTCCTGAGTAATTAATAGCACTATATTAAGGTCTAAGCAGAGATTGCACTATTGCCTTTATTGGTGATTTTTCTTTGTGCCCTCCAAACACTTCTTTTCTAGTGCATATAAATACACACACATACACACACAGAGTGAGTGACAATTTTTCCTGTCTTTCCTTTGTGAATATAATGGTAAAGTTAGGTAAGTCCAAAGATATGTAGAACTTCAGACTTAACAGGCAAACTTCTCATACTGCCAGCTATTAAAATTAACCAATCCTGGGAATATATTTATTGTCACTATTTAAAATGGTAGGCAAAATTAATTGGAAATCAAACGTCTGCACCTCACTTTTTTCCATCTGCAAAATGGAAGTAGCCATACACTGTTTTTCTGGCCCAATTTTCATTTTGCAGATGGAATCAGTGAAGTGGGGAAGGTAATTTGTCAGTTATTGAACTAATGCATGTATCCCTTGCAAAAAAAAAAAAAGTGCAGGTTGTCCTTGCATTTTGCAAGAGGAGCATAAAAAATTTCAGAAGAATATGTACAAAGGTTTTCAATACTTGTGATTAATTAACTGATTGGCTGATTCTCCCCCCAAAAATCATCATTGTGGGGGGAACTTTTCCTATTGACATAATTTTATGGCTTGGTATTTCCCCAGTTGCTGACAAAGCGGAAAACTTAAATTCCTAGAAATTGATTTTCTGAAAAAGAAAAAAAACTCTGAAATAATTTTTCAGTTAGGGTGAGCATTCCATACAGAATTCAAATACAAAATTCAAAGAAGCCTTTGTTATGTTACCTGAGATAGATAAATCCAATCTTTTCATTACCTTAGATGGGAAGACACTTGCTTTTGGTTGGTATCAAAGGTGCTTTCTATTTTTGAATATATGTATATTCTACTGAGGGAGCTCTTGCACCATGGAGAGCTCCCATGGTAGTATCATCAAGAGTAAATTGGAGTCTTAGGTATCCAGGGATAACTCTCTGCATATGTTTCCCCTTAATAGGTGGAATTATTCTTTAATAAAATAACCCTCAAAATGTTCAAGAAATGTTTCAAGATACACAAAACATGTTTACATTTCTGTAAAAACATTTTTCCGCTTCTGGATAATCCTGTGGCAGGAAATATTTTGCTGGAATGTTATTAGTATCTGGAAGTTTGGGAATATACATATTGAAACTTTCATTTCAGAATTTATACTGAAGTCTAAACTGTAGGGTAGACATTCTACAAGGCAACAGTATATAGGCATACCTACATACTATTATATACCATACTGAACATGGTGTCCAGATTTCAGCCAGTTGCTTTGTATAACTTTCTTTCCAACAACAAAAAAAGTCTCAAGACATTAACATTTGGTGTGTTCACTGGGCTGATTTTTTCCCCAACAGTCAGAAAATATTGGTGTTAAAAATGTCCCAGAGAATCAGATTTTATAAGTATTTAAAATTGCAAACATATGAATTTATTTGCGGACATTTTAATATCTTGACCTATATTAAAATTTTGCCTGGAGTAGTCACCCCCCCCCCAACACAGTATTTGCCTTGTTTGAAGAAGTACATTCCACAATACTTTTTGAAGTAGTATAAATCCTGACTGTTTTGAACTGTGCACTTGAGGGAAGTACTCCTATGGGTATCAGGTGCTCAACATTCTGCTGAGTGGAATTGAGATATGCATTATATCATAGTGGCTTTAATATAATAACCTGTAAAATATATTTTGTAACTCTGAATTCCTTCTTCCAATGCAGTTTCCAATGCAGTTTACAAGAGATGAAGCCTAGGTTTCTTGAATACTAACAGTTCCAGTAGACGAGCAAGCAAGCAAATATTTCCCTTAGGCAAATAATAGCATCTTCACCATTATGTTATTAAAACTCTTCTGCCCAGTTCTTCTTCTTCCTCTTCTGAAATATATTAATAAACACCTGTTGGTCAATGCATTCTTTGAAGCACTTTTTGCATCTGAAATTTTCAAGCGTGCTACCAAGAAACAATTATACAAACAATATTTTCATTAGTACTCAACTTTGATACATAGATGAACATATTAAAAGTATTTTCTTGGAAACTTGCATATTCTAAATCAACCTATGCCCCCCCCCTTCAATTTTTTCTATTTTATTTTTTACCCCCTCAAAAGATAACCATTTCTGCAGCAGGCACAAAGACTATCATTCATAGAAGTACTGAGGTGAGATTTCTTTGAAGGTCATACTATTCTTCAAGATGCTTATGGGAGAACAAAACAAAGGTTTATACTAGACAAGATGAGCAAATAATTTAATTTAATAACTCCCAGTTATGTTTGTATGAAAAGAACATACATATTACAAAGGGATGGCTGGATTTTTCCTACAGCCTAGCGTAATAAGGAGAAAAAAGGATGATGTAATCTGCTTGAGTCTCATTTTCATAAAGTGTTTCCATTTTCTTCTCAACTGCACCACTAATGTGCTTGAGCAAAGCCCATCTAACCTATTCCACAGTCACCATAGTCAGACTATTCAGTTGCCTGCTAGAAAAAAAATGCTTTGTGTCCACCACTAATGGCAGCAGAAAACCAATAATCTGTTTTCAGATAGTCAATAGATCATCCCAATTAGCTGGCCACTGGAAGAAACCAATGGTATTTCCTCTGTCTCTACAGAATTTTTGCATCTGAATTTCCTCTGGCTCTACAGAATTTTTGCATTTTTGTATTTGCAGCCATACAGTAGTTGCAGGTTGCTTTCCTACTCCAGTCTAAAAAATATGTAACAATCTATGTAAAAATGCTATAAATTGGATATTTGATGAACCAAATGGAATCATCTTCCTTATTAAAGGGTCAGGTACCTAGTCTTGATATACTCTTAGATCTGATATGGAAATGACAGTAATTTTTTTTCCTATTAGGCTAAAGCAACTTGACAACTGCTATCCTATCTAGAGAAAGCTGATTTAACTATAGTGACATATTTATTTGTAATGTCTACAAAAGGTTACTGTAATATGATACATAATGAACTGCTGTTAAAGTTAGTTTACAGGCTACAATTGGCAGGAAGAATATTTGTGGGTGCTAGTTACTCGGATTTTATTATATCTATTCAACACTGGTTGTATTGGAGACCTGTTTGCCTGTAGGCAAAATGCAAAATGCTGGTAAGGGAAAATGCTGGTTTTCTTTAAAAAATATTTCAGACCATGTAAATTGAAAGATGGTCTGTATTTACTTCAATCCCTAGCAGCATTAAAATCAGCATCAATTATTATATTTTAGACCAATATTTGAGGGGCTGCCACAGAGACGAGGGGGTCAACCTATTTTCCAAGGCACCCAAAGGTCAGACAAGGAATAATGGATGGAAACCGATCAAGGAGAGATTCAACCTAATAAGGAGAAAATTTTTGACAGTGAGAAAAATCAACCAATGGAACAGCTTGCCTTTGGATGTTTGGGGAGCTTCATCACTGGAGGCTTTCAAGAAGAGATTGGACTGCCATTTCTCAGAAATGATGTAGGGTCTCCTGCTTGGGTGGAGGTTGGACTAGATGATCTCCAAGGTCCCTCCCAACTCTGTTAATCTGTTACCCTTTTTATGCTCTGATCCATCATAAAACCCCTTGATAGTAGACATCCAAGACAATGCTTTTTCTTTGGTGGCCCTATGCCTTAGGAAATCTTTTCCTATCACTGTAATCTTTAAATACTTTTTCTGTTCAACCTTTTAGACTTAATATCAAAATGCTTATCTACTGCTATATTTTATTCATTTGATTATATCATCTTGTTAACTCCCTTGTGAGAGCAGGGTGTCAAGAAAGAAAAGCTAAAAGCTTTAAAATAAATCAATACTTTATACATCTCATTTTGCACTGGAGCATCCTAGAATGTGTATGAATATGATTTAGAATAGCATAGCAAAATAACTAAAAGCATGGATGTTCTACTAAAATGTTCTACTAAATGTTCTACTAAAATAATTAAAAGAGTGGATGTTCAGATTATATTTAGAGATGGATAATTAACATCGCACTAACACCTGTTCTGAGTTGAGCACTTGTGTCTTCCCTTCTCTTCAGCAAGCTATCTCTGCCAGGAGCAGAAACAAGGAACTTAGTTGTGTTCTTAGAAAGCTGGCATAGTGGGCAAACTCTGTTAGAAGCCATGCTGAAATTAAAATTCAAAGTAAAATAAGTTTACTTGCAGGCCAATACAATATGGAACAATTTGTTGTTAAAACTGCTAGTTACAGATTATGTTTTGTTAGATAGAGTTATTGATGATTTCCTTCTATTTGCTCTTTTTTTTCCCTTTGGGTATCCAGCTTTAGTAAGTACTTTCTACATCAAACTTTGTTGACCTTTGCTTTCCATTTTGAACACCTGCCAGGTTCAATGGAGTTCTGTTTTCACTGTTCCCTCCTTGTCATTTGAAAAGCAGTCCCAGGAGACAAGCACACCCTATGTTGCATAGAGAGGTTCTTTATAACAAGGTTAATTATCATAATGAGGGTTAATAGAGTTTATAGGGTTTATAACACTGGGTCACTTCTCATTTTAGAAGAAGAGGTCAAAGAAAGAGCTTGTTTCTGAAAGTACTTCATAGACTTGTTCCAAAAGGTATTAAACTATTAGAATGAAAAAGGCAGTTGTATTTTACCATATATTATGAAAACATATTGCTGCTTCCCCAACTATTATAT